GAACTTGTGTGGCTACAGCGTCTCTTGGGAGAGTTGGGAGTGGTGTGCGAGACACCTATGAGACTGTTTGGTGACAATACGAGTGCAATCAAGATTGCTAACAATCCTGTTCTGCACGACCGGACTAAGCACATTGAGACACACGTCCACTACATCAGACAGTTGGTAACAGAAGGAGTAATTGAGCTTAGATACTTGTCAACAGAAGACCAGACTGCAGATTTGTTGACAAAGGCAGTTGGGTCTAGCCGACATTGGTATCTGTCAAACAAATTGATGTTGCGTAAGCCTCAACAATTTGAGGGAGGGTGCTGAATTATCGTGTATGCTTAGTTTAGGTGTCTTTTGGTAATTGTCCTTAAGTCCTAAACTAAGTAGGATTAGGTTTATGAGACCCACAGCTCGTGCATATATATATACTCCCTATGTACATACTGTAGCCAATAAGACGAATAAGATTGACTCCGGAGAGTACAAGCTCTCTCGTGGACTAGTCCTGATTCTCAGGGAAACCACGTAAATCCTTGTGTTCGTGTTTATGTTATTTGAGTTCTTATCATACATATCTAAAATATAGGTTTATTTTAGGGTTCATATATTTGTATGGTCTGAACTTTGTACATAATCAACATTCTAGCCAATTTTTTCGATTTATAACATTCTGACCCAAACTATACATCAAAGTAACGAAATTGGCCAAACCCGATGGTTGACCGTTACCTTGGACGGTCAAACATGTTGACTAACGGTCAACGTGCCATGTCACTGCCAAGTCAGCAACTTTCACTTAAATTTTTTTATATTTTCCACCTATTATCATTTATATTTTTCATTTTGAACCTAAAGAAGAAGAAAAAATTAATTTCATCTTGAACTAAGAAAAAGAAAAATTATAATAGGTGGAAAATATAAAAAAAATATAAGTGAAATTTGCTGATTTGACAGTGACGTGGCGTGTTGACCGTTAGTCAATGCGTTTGGCCATTCAAGATAACAGTCAAATATCGAATTTGACCAATTTCGTTACTTTGATGTCTAGTTTGGGCCAGGATGTTATAGATCGAAAAGATTGGTCAGGATGTTTATTATGTGCAAAGTTCAGGCCATACAAATATATTAACCCTTTATTTTATGTATAACAGATTATTATGAAAGCCTTATGTAATGAATTGTCTTTTTATGTAATGAATTTTAACCTTGCGTTACGTAAAGTGATAAATTATTAAGGAAGACTTACATAATGCTTCTTATTTAACTATTACTTAACAAGATTTTTTTTCCAACCTAAGATAGCTTGCATTACGAAGAAAAATAGATCGAATGTTTACAACTTCATACGGAGCCAAGCGCAAAAATCAAAACCTAGCACATTCGTAGCGGACAATACAAGAGATTTTCTTGCCACCATATGGGCAACCCTATTGTTTTGTCTCCCCACGAACTGTACTTTCACACCGGGATATACTTGTGTCTGAGAGCCTGGATCTCACGATAGAGGGAACCATTAGTCATGCACCGCGCATTCCAGGGCCGGCAAAGAGGGTGTGCTGGCCCGCCCTCTGGCACAGGGCCTCCGAATATTAGGGGCCTCCACTTAGATTCGTTAGTTACCGATTGAATATTGCAGGTTGTTTTTTTAATGTATGATTGATAGATTATGAATATGATGACGAATTTAATAGATAATTTTAGATATAATAACAATTGAAAAGGATCTCATGGAGAATACGAAAATCAGAGAGATAATAGATCATTTTAATTTAAACAATAAAGAAAGATATTACATTTTGAATAATGGTATTATAATCATTTTAGTTTTTATTATAGTTAAAAGTCAATTTGGATCATGTCTCAATTTTGGAATAGGGCCTACACGATCCATTAGATAGACCCTCAATTTATATTATTTTCATTTCCCCATTCAATTTTTGCTCTATATCCATTTTATGTTCCCTCCAGATTTACCTTTCTCCCTCCCTGCTATGAGTGAGAATTTGGTCTTGGTTTCTTGGTCAAACAGGAAGTGAGATTGTTTATTCATTTTGAAATTATTTTCTGAACTTATGTACTTTATAATTATTTAATAAAATTATTGAGAAAAAATTAGGGGTCACATGTTAAATTTTCGAACAGGGCCTCCAAATATCATGAGACGGCTCTAACGCATTCACCCTATCAATAATCTCTTTAGCACATCCCTCGTATCCACACTGAACAAAGACCCTTAGCCACACCCCCCAATGTAACGCTTCTCGAAGACTATCAGCTCTACCATAGCCTGTTCGTAAACCCCTTCCAAGCGCCCAACTTTAACCATCACCACCGTCAGCACCAGACTCATCCTGAATAGCTATAAAAAAATAAATAAGAACAATTATCATTTACTTAACCTTTACATAATAGATATGTAATTGTACGTAACAGTTGTACAACGTGAGCTAATTATCACCATGAGCACCGCCTGCCCCGCATCATATATGCTGCTTCGTCATAGAGTGCAAGACACCGCCGATTTCTTTACAAGGAAAGAATTGTTATCAGTATTATGTATATGCTTACATTGCTACTTACCTAGAATAGGAACAAGTGACCCTGAATAGGAAAGGAGTGGGCGATCATGGGCAGCGGCAGACGGATAGATTGTTGATAATTGAAGAGTACTGTGAGTCTGTGACTGACTAAATATATATGCTGCTGCCTAATTTAATTATGGGCATACATACATATAACCTGCAGTGGTCTCGTGGCAGGCATGGGTCACGCCAACTAGCTCTAGCCCCAGAAAAAACCTAACTCTGCGGTGCTCCGTTTCCTTATTCAACCCTTCAAACACAGGGGAGGGCCACTTGGCCAATTCTGGGTTTGCTGCCGGTGAGATGATTCTCGGGGATCAGAATAATGCGTTATATTGCGGTTCCGAGGAACAAACCGCCAGAATTTTGTTTGAAAAAAGAGAGAGGAGAAAATGAGGAATGTACTGAAAATGACGAAACCACTGCAACCTTAGTTGAATAAACTAATAATAATAGAATGGCCAAACAACTATTACACAAATTCATGGAATTCTAAAGTATTGGTGTTTCGAGATACAAATTAGACTTACATCATAACAGTAAAAGTATAATTCAGTTTGTACTAGAGATGAATTCATATTTTTATATTATGATACAAATTAAATCAATTTATATCATATATATAAATTTCTACGTACAAGTTCAGTCTTTCATCTCATGATGATCCCAAGGCTTCCAAGTGGTACACTCAAGGTTGTCAAACCGGTTTATGCTAGTGTGCCGGTTTAGCAAGTGGAATGGTTCGACCGGTGGCACATATCGGTTTGTGTCGGTTCATGCCGGTCAATATTCCAAATTAAATTATAAATACTCATATTTAAAGATGACATTTAACGTCAATACCTAAACATTTGTACTTGAATCAAACAAATAACATCAATATTTAACTTTTATACTCATAAAATAAATAATAAAATAATTTTTATCAATTAAATTCCCTAAAATAAGGTCATTTTACTTACAGATTCGTATATCGATCATGCCGGTCATACCGGTGATATCACGCCAGTTTTATTACCGGTACCGGTTGAACCAGGTTCAACCGGTGGCACGCCGGTCGGTGTGACAAACATGGGTACACTAGTATGCTTTGTCTTGAAAATGCACACAACGCTACCAAAAGCGTATCAATTGTATAAAAGCATTCCTAGGGTATACAAACCATGCTACACTATGGTATCTTCATAGAACTATGATACACTATTATACCATATTTTATAATCTTATTTACTACCAAGCACACGTACGTACCGGGGTCAATCGACGATGTAAGAAAGACAACGACCAACAAGAAAGTAAATAACACATGGATATTTACATGGTTCACTAACACAATGCGTGTTAGCTAGTCCACAGGCGGAAGAAAGTTAGCTTCACCATACTTGAGGGATTACAGATTATAGAGGAGTATGATAGGTATTTATAGTACTTCTCCAATGGCCTAACACTAATCCAATATTGTAAAGAACAAGATTACACACACCAGATCCACAACAGAAGCTCAAATGTGTATAATCCCATACACTACACCGTGTGGAACGGGGGATGGTGGCCCAGAACCCCCCATCGCGAAATCCCTGCTCCCCTGAGCCCCTAATCGGGTGCTTCACCTCTGGACCCAAATTCACTGGTCGGGCAGCGCGAGAACACCTTGTGACTTCCATTCGACGGTAGATCATCCGATTCAAGTCACATCAACAATTACCACCGTAGTATGGACTTGAAATGAAAGAGATATAGCCCATTAAATTTTTTTTTGTTCTCAAATATATCAAAGTGAATATTCTTTTAAAAATCATAATTAATCTAATTTATTTTTTGCAAAAAAAAAAACAGAGAGGGTAAATTATGACTTGAAATGCAAGAAATATAACCCATTAAAATTAATTATCTTTCATAAATAATAAGTGTAGGATAATGTACGGTTATTAATCAATAGGTTATTTTAAAATAAAAGAAAATTCAACCGCTTGAATGAAAGAAAAGTGGGGGGAGCAGAGCAAGTAGACCGCGCGTGTCGGATTCTGAATTTCTCATTTTTTATCTTCCACTTCCACTCCATCTAGGTTGGAGGCAAGCTAGTGAATTAAATTAAGTAATAAGGCCAGCTGCCTTTGAGACCTCCTTATCTCTCAATCCCTTCAACTCAACTAGCCACCGTCCCCATCTCAATCAATCATTGCTTCTTCAATTCAATTCTCTCCCCCTTTTCGCTTTTCCGCCCCCCTCCATTCCATTCCGCTTCTTTCCCCCTTTCACCCCTCTCTCTCTCTCTCTCTCTCTCTCTCTGCCTTCCTCCTTCTAAGAGGAAGGTCATCGTCGGTAGCGTCACGAAGCTTCCCGGCGACGACGAAATTCAGTTTACGGCGGCCTTGAGCGTCGTTCGTATTTGTTATTGTATATAATTAAAGAAATTATATTTTTAAGATGATGAGGAGCATGCACATGGGGAACTCCGCCCCGGCGAGAGGCATAGCTGCCATCGTCGGCGTTGGGCCCAAGCTGGGCCGGTCCGTGGCCCGCAAGTTCGCCCACGAAGGCTACACCGTCGCCATCCTCGCCCGCGACCTCGGTAACGTACACCGTTTCAATCTAAGGAAAAAAAAAAAAACTCAATCTAATTTAATAATAATAATAATTTTGTATCAGGGAGGCTGTCGATGTTCGCGGAGGAGATAGCGCGGGAAGAGAAGGCCCAAGTGTTTGCAATCAAAATAGACTGCTCCGACTCCAGAAGCATCAGGGAGGCCTTCGAAGGCGTTCTCTCACTCGGCTTCGTCCAAGTTCTTGTCTACAATGCCTACTGCCCGGCTGCCTTGCACCAGCCCACCAACTTCGCCGACGTGTCTCTCGCCGCCTTCGAGCGCTCCCTCGCCGTCTCCTCCGTCGGCGCCTTCCTCTGCGCTCAACAGGTAAAAAACTACAAATCTCTAACTCACTAATTAGTTAACCTTGTCACAAGAAGAAGAAAAACAAGACTTGATGGGGGCATACAGAACTATAAATTTGAATGAGGGAGTTGTGATAATTGAGAAGGGAGCTAACGGTTTAGCACTATAATATTTTCTAAATTTGCTTGTTACGAGTTTTACATGTAATTTTTCTTATATTTTAAACCTCTCATATAGTCGTAACTTCAACCTAACTCCGTCACTCTGTTTATTGTTGTAAGCACGACCAAATCTCTTATCACATTTGATATCGAGAGCCGAGGAATATGAGTCAAGCGAGATAGGTCTTAACCGGATAGTTAAAGCGTAAGACTTATCCGTGAGAGATATTTACATATATATAAACGGTTCGCTCTGATTATTTTGTAGGGGTAAGTACTAAACATTCCGATTTCTTCATTTTGGGCTTGTTTGGTCTTACTTTAGTTTTTGTAAAAGCAGTTTTTGACTGGGGATTCTAGAAAAGTACTTAAAAAAACAGTTCAGTGTTTGAGTGAAAAACTATTAGAAGTGCTTTTTAATAGAAGAGGTTGTGTATATAATATAAACTATGAATAAAAATTCTAAACAATAAAAAGTAGTCAGAATGGATCATTTTAGATTTCTTTTATACTAAATAATATAATTTATTTTTAAAATGATATCAATGAAATAAAATTATATTTTTTGAAATAAAATCAAAATAAGATAAGGATAATCTTGTATTTTCAAAACAGTTTTTCGCAGGAGCTTCTGCTTTTATGTTATACAAAAGCGCTTTTCGACTTTTTAAAAGCTGAGCTTTTAAATATGTTTAGCTCTACTTCAGTTTTTGAAACCGAAAAATACATCTAAAAACCAGACCAAATATAAGCTTTATCTACTTCCATACAGACATTTGGATTATAATAGCGCTTACCTCTTTAGACATGATCATCAATAATTTTAAGAAGTTTAATTAGATGAAATTAGTGGAACGACACAATGATTAATAATCTACTTTTTTATGAGTTAACCTTTGTATACATTGTGTTTTGGTGGGTAGGTTATTCCAGGAATGGTGGAGAGAAGGAAAGGCACGATTCTGTTCACAGGTTGCGCGGCTTCACTAAACGGGATTCCTGGATTCTCTGATCTATGTACGTAAGGGCGACAAAGATTCAATCAATCATTATATAGCTTTTTACATAGCACGTACGTACGTATACGTATTACTTTGTGAAAAAATTATGTCGTATATTTGTACGTATATACATACATACATACAAGGAGTGGACACGTGTTCGGTTGGTGCATGCAGGTTGTGGGAAGTTTGCACTGAGAGGCCTGTCGCAGTGCCTGGCCAGAGAGTTCCAAGCTCTTGGGGTGCATATTGCCCATGTTGTCATCGATGGTCTGGTTGGCTCACCTAGGTCAGTTCCCTTTTCTTCTCTAGTTTATATAGTACCAGCAGGTCGGATCAGAAATACCGAATATCAAACCCATAGTTTAACCATAGTTAAAACCGTAATTTTAATACAAAATATTATTATCACTGATTTTTTATATATAATTTCAAAACGTTTTCTGAATTCTTCGTTTACAGAAATATCTCATCCATCTTTTTTATTTTATTTTAAATATCTCATGAATCTCTGTTGTGGATAATGTATAGTCATCTTTCTGTGGGAAGCTTCGAGGATTCCCAAGATTCCCATTATCTTAAGGATCTTTTTCCACTTTTTTGGGAATTTTGGGGGGTTGATAGATATCCAACGAAAGGATAGAGTTCTAGTTCGAACTTCTAACCCAAATAAAGGGAGAATGGGGAAAGATCTAAAGAAGCTCTCTTGATGGGGAAAGTGTGTGGCTCAACTTCTGATGATATCTTTTTTTTTTTTTTTACTCGAGTTGGAAGTATTCTTTTATTTTAAAAGTTGAATCGTGTTTAACATTCTAATAATAAGTCTAAAGTTTTTGGATGACTTTTAGTTTTATAGTTCGAGTATAGTAGATTTTCTCATCTTAAATAGGTCAATTCAGTTGCGCGTACAAATAAAGTTTATGGGCAAATTAAAAGTATTTTTTAGAAAATAAAGCTCTTATGTGGAGATTTTGAGAAAGTTGTTTTGAAAGTAGGATATTATTCTTTTTTTTAAATAGGAAATTAATTAAAGCAAACAAAAAATAACATTAATAATCCAACAAAACTATTTTTACATATTAAACATCTATATTGAGATCCTTTAGCCATTTTACATTACCGTTTGGTACCAAATGATGAATTGAGAATTTATTTCATTGTAAAATGAATTATCGTGTAGAATTCATTGTCAACAGAAATCTTGGGTTTGGTATGCCATATTCAAATCTTTAGAAATAAAATGAATCGCCGTGTAGAATTCATTGTCAAAAGAATTTATGTATTTGGTATGTATATGTATAAGTAATTTAGTTAGTAAAAGAGAATAATTATTTCATTCTATTATAATTAGTAAATACTAGTGAAATTCATTTGAAAATTTCATCTCAATTTCTCGGAATTGCTATAACTAGTTCCAATTCCATAGAATTTAAAATTTATAATTGATAATGAATTTTTTTAAATACCAAATACAAAATGTTTCATTTCGGAATGAATTCCTCAAAATTTAAGGAATTCATTTATACCAAACGGTGTGTAAAACTTCTTTTACAGACCGTTTGGTACCAAATGAATCGAGAATTCATTTCATTGTAAAATGAATTACCGTGTAGAATTCATTGTCAATGAAATCTTGTGTTGGGTATGTCATATTCAAATCTATAGAAATAAAATAATTGTTGTGTATAGAATTCATTGTCAAATGAATTCTTGTGTTTGGTATGTCATATGTATAAGTAGTTTAGTTAATAAAAAAGGATAATTATGTCATTCTATTATAATCAGTAAATACTTGTGGAATTCATTTGGAAATTTCATCTCAATTTCTCGGAATTGCTATAACTAGTTCCAATTTCATAGAATTCAAAATTTAAAATTTGAAAATGAATTCTTTTAAATACCAAACAAAAAAATGTTATATTTCTAAATAAATTCCTCGAAGCTTATTAAATTTATTTATACCATAGTTTATTAATGAAACACTAAAATGCTTTTCGATACACACTCCCAAAAAACATCGTCAAAACCTATATTTATTTTTCTGTAGTAGAAGATGTGGAGGATGATGATTGGCAATAAATTGGGGGAATCGCCATATATGCTGGAGCGTACGTACGTTGCGTAGAAGATTGACTAATAATAAGTACCGCATGCAGGGGACCATCGTCGCCGTCGCCGTCGACAGGCAGTACCACCGGCGGTGGTTGGTGGCAGAGGACGGCGGTGGTTGGGGAGCAATTAGTACAACAACAACAACAAGTCGAAGGAGAATCGGTAGAGCCAATGATGATGATGGACCCAGACTCTTTGGCCCAAACCTACTGGCATTTGCATGTCCAGGACAGGACGTGTTGGACCCAAGAGATCGACCTCCGCCCTTCCCACTCTCAACAGTGACGCCGGCCGGCCCGGCCCGGCCCCCAAGTTAATTACTATGTTACCCCCTTAATTAAATACCGATTGAACTAATATTGCTCTTGAAAGCTCCTTCTTCCCAATTTTTATGTGGTGTTTAAATGTGATGGTGAGAGCTCATTAGTACGAAATAGTCGTCGTCCTGTCAATCAAATCTTATACACATACACATCAGTTTCCGTATTAATTTGTCTTCTTGCTACTGTTTTTGTTTTTTTACCCTTTGTGACCTTCGTTTTAAGGGGCAGTGGGTCGTATTTGTTGTCTTCTACGGACGAGCGAAGGGCTTCGTGTCCCAATTTAGGACACACGACATACAATACAAGCCTATCTCTCTCGTGGACTTTGAATCTGATCGAGCTTTTTTTTCTTCTTTCTCTAGGTAGTAAGTAGTAAACCCTACTATTTTCCTACCTTCTAGCCCGATGGTGACAAAGGGATCTTGTTCCACTGCGATCAATGTTTAGGTTAAAACCTTGGAGGATCGAATCATCGTCACCAGGGGTGAAACCAGGATTTCCATGTCGGGAGGCTAAAAATAAAAAAATCGTACATATTTTTTTTCTTTCTTCAATAGGTAGATTAGTAAAGTCATATTCAAAGTAAATATTTCTAATGTTTCGATTTATTGAATCAAGAAATTTACTTAGTACAGAATACATATTTACAAATAAATGTAAATATTGAGTGAATCAAAACAAGATATTATCCAATAAGACAATAAATAAATACTAACAGAAGTGAAATTTACGCTTGAATATGGTATGAAGGAAGACTCTAAACGAGAAATAGGAAAAGCAGCTAAATGAGTGAAAATTATAATAAAAGAATGAAAACAAAACATAAATAGAGTAGGGAATATTGAAAATTATACTAAAAGTGTACAAGTATAAAAAGAAGGAGTATGGAATGAAGGAAGAATCTCTCAAAGTGAAAATTATACTAAATGAATGAAAACACAACATAAATAGTGTAGGGAATATTGAAAATTAATATATATATAAATATGAAGTAATATTACTGTTGCCTAAAAGTAACATTTTGATAACCCAAATTTAATTAAATCACAATTTAGTCACTATAATGTATATTTAATATTTTGATACCCCAAATTTAATTTTAATGTAAAATCATTGAACCATTATACTTTGGTATCTAAATTTTATGAGATTTTCGTACCTACAATTTTTAAAATTTACATATTGGTCCAATTTTGATTTCACTTGAATCCAATCCACCAATCCTTTTCAACCAATCCATGAATCCAATCCACCATAACATAAAAGTATAGATTTAGTTTGTACAATACAAGATGTAGTATCACTCAACTATAGGAGAAGATTCGTCCATTTCATATTAGCTCATTACGTGAAACATTAAATAAACGATAAAACATAGACGACTCTCAAATATTGCAACAACAAATTTATAAACTCATTTTGTACATTTACGAGGTACTAAACAAACTTCTACGGTGAAAAGGGTTGATTGTTGTACTGACGGCCAACAAAAAGAATTGGTCAAAACATTTCCATTATCTACTTCCTCTTCATTTACTTTTTCACTCACCTTCCCCAACCCTTTTTTAATTTTTTTGTTTGCCTTCTTCGTCTAACCCTAATTAGTATACTATTGTTATGGGGCAAATGACAAGTTTGGTCACTGAGATTATTAAAAAAGTTCATGTTTGGTCACTAAAAATATTTAATTTCATTCGTGGTCACTAAGTTTAGTAAAACATGTCATGTTTGGTCACTCTCCGTCCAACTCCGTTAACTTATCTGATGTGACAGTCAACTCTCAAAGTTGGCCATTAAATGTATGGCATGAAAAATGAAAAATAAAAAAATTAATTTTAAATATTCCACCTCATTATCACTACTATTAAAAATAAAAATTATTCATATTAAATTCCTAAACCTAAGCAGCGCTGATTGTCCACCGACGAGGTGCTGGAGGGTCCAGATCACTTGATCATATTTAGTGGAACTTTAGTCTCTCGGATCTAACTGCTGATCTATCCACCTTGGGAGGTAAAGCTAGTAGAGTAGTAGTAACATTATGATAATGAATCTTCTGGTGGAACAATTAGATCATGGTAACTAAAAGGTTTGATTTTTGATATTGTGGTTTCGAAGAAGAAGAGGTTGCCGCCGCCACAGCTGCGGCAGTGGATGAAGAAAAGTAATATGCGGAAAATAAAGAACGCGACGATTTACGTGGTTTCCCCGAAGATCGGGACTAGTCCACGGAGACCAGAGCTCTCAGTTTAGGGTTTTCACTATGTAGCCGCAGCAATGGAGAAGCTGCTGTGAATGGAGAAGCTGCTGTGTTACCTGGTACACGAGACTACCAATCCAATATATACTCTTCTACTAGTCTGCTAGTATATATGGAAGATTACAAAAAGTAACCAAAAACAATAATAACTGTACAAACTGGTCCTGGCTAATACTCCCCCTCAAGCTGGAGCATGAAGATCACGAATGCCAAGCTTGGACAACAGCAAATGAAACTGTTCGGCACCAAACCCTTTCGTGAAGATGTCGGCCAGCTGAGAGTGGGTGCCAATCTTCTGCGGCAGGATCTCACTAGTACGAACCCGTTCACGAACAAAATAACAGTCCATTTCAACATGTTTAGTGCGTTCGTGAAAGACGGGATTAGTCGCGATGTGCAGAGCAGCCTGATTATCGCAGTATAGAGTGGTCGGAGCATGTTGAGGAGCCTGTTGAAACACCCTAACCCGGCCGGGTACTACTTTTACTAAAATGCCCTTGATAAATAAAATACTCAAATATTAAATTGCAACTGGGAAAAATTTTCATAAATAAAATAATGAAAACACACACTTTTACTAGCAAAGCCCTAACATGTGGGCAAATTAAACTCAAACTTTAAATTCTCAATCTAATCTCTAGTCTATACTCATAATCATAAAATGCAAACAACTAGGTCGTTGCTGCTACTGAAAATCTTAACTAGGCACCCTCCGTGACGCTTATACTGCTCTCCTCTAGCTGGCTGCCCTCGAACTTGCTGCTCACTAAATGCTCCTCTAGCTCTTCCTCTAGCTCTTCAAACTGGTGAGTGAGATGGGGTCAGTCTACGCCCTTACGTTTTAATACTTCTAATACTTGAGTACTTTACTTAAACGCTTAACTTTGACTAGTGGAAGTTGTTTGTACTTCCAATCTTAAAATCTTAACTCTTAACTTTGAGGGAGTTGAAGTTACCCTCCTCTCTTAAAACTCAAATCTTGACTTAAATGCTTGACTGTGATATTCGGCTTTAATATATCGGATTCTTGGACTTTATGTGATTATCTCATGGTATGTTTTAGCCAATTGGTGCTATTTTAGGGCTCGCTAACCCGAGAATGGTTGAAAAACCATTACTGCCTAGTGTCATGAGTTTGATATGATACAGGTGAAGAAAACACGAAAAAGGAGCGAGTGCACAAGCAATAAATCGGGCTCGAATTACTGGTGGACTACTCGCTTGGGCTCAAGGCCCAGAGGAATTGGCTGGGGTAGCGAGGCTTTTGGGCCGGCTTTGCTGGGACAGGCAAATAGGCGGCCCATTATTCTGGGCCATGAAATGCTGCTGGGACACGTTGGAGAGGAGGGATTTTTGGGACACACAGAATTGGACTGGGGGTGGAATTCTTGAGGACACGTTTTTGGAAGGAACAGGAGGAATTAAAGAAAGGCAGCAGGGGGTGATTTATTGTGGGAGGCAATTTGGGATTGGAGACTTTTAATTGGAGTGAGAATCTCCAAAGGCGGAAGGGAGCTGGAAGCTAGCTACGAGAGAGGAAACTTTATGGACTAAGCTCTTGCTAGACAAATATGGCGGTAACAGAGAAGGCATCAACATCCTGCAGAAAAAACAGGGAAGTTCTCTCGCCTGGAGAAGCTTTGTTTCTGCTGCTAATGTGTTGAAGAAAGGTTTTGCCATGAATATTAAGAATGGTAACCGAACTAATTTCTGGTGTGACCCATGGGTATCGCAGGTTCCTTTGAAGGATTTGGCTACTGCTGAGGTTCCAATGGACCAATTAAATCGTAAGGTGGCTGACTTATGGGATCCAGAGAATGGCTGGAAGACTACAGAGTTTCAAGACTTCCTCCCAGAGCAGATGATCAACAAAATCCGGGCCATCATGATAGACCCGCTGGACATGGAGGGAGACCAAGCTTTCTGGAGCATCACTGCAAATGGCCATTTTTCAGTTAACTCGGCCTTTAAGGCGATCCAGAGGCAGGCCGATCAGCAGTCGAGTTATATCTGGAAGAATATTTGGAAACTCCAAATCCCCGAACGAGTCAGAGTCTTCATTTGGATGGCGGCGCAAGGGAAACTCACCACGAACAGCATCAGAAAACACAGGCATTTAACTGATAATGATTCGTGTCCTGAGTGCAGGAACACTGCAGAAACCAATCTTCACTGTTTAAGAGATTGCGGCAGAGCCAAAGCAATTTGGAACAGGATTTTGGATCAGCAAGGAACAGGGAGCTTTTTCAGCAGCGACCTTAATGCTTGGATCAAGGACAACATTCTTAATGTCTCGACCGGTAATTGGCCTGGCCAGTGGAACAATTTCTTCTGTCTAATCCTTTGGTATCTTTGGAAATGCAGGAATGAGAGGATTTTTAAAGGGGTGAAGCTGACCATTCCGACTCTGCATCATTACGTGGTTGCAAAGGCCTCTGAATGGGCTAAAGCCTCCATTCCTTCTATGATAGCGCCATCTTTGAGCATAAATCAAACTAGAGTGGAAGAACGTGTTGGCTGGATCAAACCGCCACAAGGTTGGCATAAAATGAATACTGATGGTGCTGCTCAAAGCAATCCTGGTATGGCTACGGCAGGGGGAGTGCTTCGGGATCACGATGGAACCTGGATAGGCGGTTATTGCAGCAAGCTTGGGTCTGGTACCGCTCTCCTTGCCGAGCTTTGGGGAATTCTGCAGGGGCTGGAGTTAGCGTGGAAGAAGGGTTCCCGTTTCCTCATTCTTGAGACTGATTCCAAATTAGCTTTGCAGCTCATAGAGATGAGGGATGACAGGGTGCATCCTTATGCAACTTTGCTTGGCACGATCAGAAGATGTTTGGCAAGAGAATGGGTGGTTCGATTAGTTCATACGTATCGCGAAGGGAATAGAGTCGCGGACTGGCTCTCGAAGCACAGTCTCGTCTATCCTTTCGGCACGCATGAGCTAATTGATCCCCCCTTGGAGCTTGATAGAATCTGCAGAGATGATGTGTTGGGAATTAGCTTCCCTAGACAAGTAACTAGAACTAATGGCAACTAAGCCGCGTGGGGTTTTGTTTTTTGATCCCTTGCTTTGGATTTGTCTGTTTCTGGGCTGTTTTCTGGTTCCCTGCTCCTAGCTGCTAGGAGTTTGTAATTGGCGTTCGCCTCCTTTCAATAAAAAAAAAAAAAATCTCCAAAGGCGGATTAATCTGGAGGGCGGCGCGGTAGAGACAGAGAATGGGGACGGAACTTAATTATTAGGAGGGGGAATTAATTCTCGGGGAGAATTGACAGAACAGAGGAGCGCGACGATCAGAAGTGCGGAGAGGGGGAGAACAACAG